AACAAATCCCACACAAAAAGTAATTAATAAAAAGAAGGATTCCTTTGCAAGTACAACTGAAATATTATTACATTATACCTACAAAAAAACCTAATCATTTCAAATATTTCCTCCTTCACACTTCTAAGCTTAATTTTTTCTTTATTTCGTGACCACAAATTAATTGCCAATTATGAAGAGGGCACCAAATCTCAATTATTATATTGGGTTAGCAATGAGAAGTTTACACGTTTGTTCTACACACGTTTAAAAGAAGAAACTAGCATCCGATCAGTTTCTTTATCTCTCTGTTATTCTAGTTAGCTGTTATGTACTAACCTGAAGTGCTGGAATTTCATTTGGTGGGGTGGTTTGAGTAAGGATTGTGATTCTAGCATATTAACCCATGTGCAACTTGGGGTTTCCTTGGCTCATATGAGTTGGCTGATCATGTTCTAATTTATCTGCACATATGGAGATAGATAAACTAAGTTACATGGTTTGTGGTTCACATAGGCATTACTGTTTATATAGTTGATGCTGACCTAATCGCTGATCTCACCTAGAGATAGACATTTGATAGATTTAAAAATTAATCAAATCTATAAAATTATAAATCTATATCAAATTTTGAAATAATTGAAATTGATTTATATATCGTTAATGATAGGTAATTCAATCAATTAGTTATAGATTTTAAACAATGAAATAATCAAATAATTAATTAAAATCAAAACCAAACAAATTAAATAAAATTAAATCAACTCAATTGATTTATTCGGTTAAAATCCAATAATGTTCACTCCTATTTCATGTGTTTCTGTCTCCCCCATAATTGGGCTTCAAAGGAATTGATGGGACTTCAAATGAAGGTAGCCCAATCCAAAAATATTCATGAAATAAATATGCCTCGTCCTTAAAAGGCTGATAAAATGGGCTAACCGTTATGAGAATTATAGGGCCACTCCTTATTTTTGGCCCAATTTGGACTTTTTATGGTCCTGTATTGGCCTCATCCAAGGATTCAGATCCAACATCAAAACAAAAACATCATCATTGATTCCTTGTTGCGCTGTTTAACGGTTAATACCTTGAACTTAAACGCTAGACATTAAGATTTTATATGCTTTCGAAGGGAAAGTTGGAATGCCTAACTTCTTACAGAGTTAGATTATGTTCCACGAACAACTAAATAGTGGTTTTTGTAATTTTTTTTATGTAAAATTAAATTCTATATCCTGTTAATTTAACAACGATGTTTTTGTTAGAAATAAAGATTCAAAATGTCTAAAAATAAACCTCAATCAGATTCAATTCAAAACCCTAGAATGACATGGGAAGGTTGCAGCGTATTGCTTGACATCAACGACTGCGATCACCTTATAATGATATAGTTTTGAGTTTATTTGGTTCATTTGAGTGATGAAAAATGTTGTAGGACCTTGAAAATTGGGAATAAGACATGCTCTTTGCAACCATTGATAGGATGTCACTTTGGTTCTCTGTTTCAAGTTAAAAGCGGAAAGGACAAGCCTTAACTTTCTCGTTATATTTCCTTCACCGAAGGTTTATTCTTTTTAATTTGTTAAAGAAAATTAATGACATTCTTGGTATGGCTTAATCTTGTGTATTGTCTTTAGTTGAATCCAAAGTCATTCTAAAGGAAGTTGTCAATTAAAACAAGAATCTTAAGACAACCGGGTAATAATTGATAACAACCAAGCCCAAAGCCTCACCAGTGAAGATATAGATGCGATGCAAAGGTGACGAAGTTTGTGTTTTTGTGGTTAATTACGAGCTTTTTGTGTACATGAATCTTCACTGATTGTTTATTCTTTTATGATACAAGCAGGGGGCAACAGGAAAGGAAATTATTGAATCTCTCATTGCCAACAGTGCAACATTTGAAAAGAAAGCACTATTCTCACAAGTTAGTTCACGTCATGCTCGGACATTATCAGTAAGTAGCAATCTTGAATAGTATAAGCTGGTTTGGTAGACTTAAATGAGCAAAAAAAGAAAAAGAAAATGATATCAAAACATAAACATTTTGTATTTTATCTGCAGAAGAAATATAGCTTAAGAAGCAGAAGAAATATACATCTAGGTACTTTTAAGACATTCCTTTTCTCGAAGGTACTCTTTGATTCTTAACTCAAGCTACTTTTTTTTTTAAAAAAAAGCTTTTATGACATGTTATGTATCCTATCTCTCATGAATGACTGGCATTTTACCATTATTGTGCCAGTATATGTGAGGCATCCTTTAAGAAATATCCAACTCGAATTGGATGCTTTATCTCTATTGCTTTTAATGGCTAATGTTATTGCAAATTCAGATGTCCTCGTAGTGGATATGGTTAGTGGACTTGCTATGGCAGAGCATTTAGGAGATTTAGCTCTCTTTTATAAAAGAGATAAGCTTTTGAAAAAACTTGGAAGAGTTTCTTTGTTACAATTGTATCTCTTAGATGAGATTTTTGGTGTTGATCTCATCTGTCGATGCCGGAGTTGACCACATCTTTGTTACAATTGTATATGGACTATAGATCTCGAGTTGATATTGATTTGGACTATAGATCGGGTTGATATTGATTTGAACTATAAATCTCTGATTGATATTGATTTGAACTATAGATCTTTGATTGATATTGATTTTATCTTGGATAAGATTTTTGGTGGTGTGGAGGATGAAAATGGTGACAGTACAGAACTTGAAAATGCAATGGTGGCGGTGCGGAGGTTGAAAGTCCATGTAGAGGTTCAAATTACTACTAGAGTTGGAATGGAGGAGATTGTCTGAGGAGAAGGTTGAAAATGCTAGTGGTGCGGAAAAGGATGAAAATGCTGCTGGAGTTGTAATGGAGGAGGTTTTCGACGTCAGAGTTAACATTGTTGCTGCCGGTAACGTATCATGCTTAAAACTACATGTACATAGCCACCTTTCCTTTTTCCCTTATAGTAATGTCTTTGTTACAATTGTATATGGAATACAGATCTCAACCAATTTCATCTTTGATATTGTTGGTGACAGTGACATCAAGCTCAGGGGTTGCTTTGGACGCTAATAGTGTGGATGTGACATCAAGCTCAAGGTTGCTTTGGATGCTAATAGTGTGGATGTTCAAATTGTTGTTAAAGTTGGAATAGAAGATGTTGTCGACATTGGAGTTGACCTTGTTTTTGTCGATGACGAAGAGGTTCATACGAACGCTGTTAGTATGGACATTCAAATTATTGTTGAAGTTGAAACGGAGGATGCTATTGACTCTGGAGTCTATGTTGGCGCTAGAACTCTAACAAACACTATCGGTGTTGAAGTTGGCCCTGCTGGTTTTGAATAGGACAAAGTTTGAAAAACGATGATAAATGCAATTGCATTAAGATTTAATGATTTGAATATAAAGGTATAGTACAGTTGTATGAAGCGAAAGGCATTAGAGGTGGCAAAGAAGAAGACTGGAGCAGTTCTTGAAGCGTAAGTACTTTGGTGGCAAGTGGTTAGCAATAAGAAAAAGTGGAAAAAGAAACGGATTACGACGGATGGGAAGGGCTAAATAGAAAAAATGTTTGGAAGAATATTAAGAGAGTTGGATAATCTTGCCTCCCAACCTCTAAGACTCTCATATTTATATTGAACAAACAGAGACTGAACAAACAGAGTACTCCTTATGAGTAGTTGGGAAAATATGTTCAATCATGTGAGTATTGACACTTGATAATGAGCCACATGTCTTTTTAAGGAAGGAAGAAATAAAAAGCGTAAAGCATATGAAGTTGAAGGAAAAGTTAAGAGGAAGTCCTCTTAACCATGTAGTTGGGTAGTGGGCATAAGTTTTGAGTAATAGAGTAGTTGGGTAGTGTGCATAAGTTTTGAGTGATAGAGTGATGATACTTGATAATGCGTCACGTATATTTTTAAGAAAGATTAAAAAAGAAAAATTAATAAAAAAATAGAGTAAAGCGCATATACTTAAATGAAAGGTTAAAAGGACTATCTCAATATTTGAGTTACTAAATCAAATTTTTTAAAACATGTGAAGATAACTTATAAACCCTATCATTCATTTTGAAATACTTTTACTTCTCTTTGTCTTAAAGGAACTGGATCACTCCTTATCCGGACCACTGATAAAGAAAACAAACACCAAGCAAACTAACAAATCTCACAAAAAAGGTATTAATAAAAAGAATAATTCCTTTGCAAGTTCAACTCAAAAAGTATTACATTATACAAAAATACCTAATCATTACAAATATTTTCTTTTGTAAGCTTCACATTTCTAAACTTAATTTTTTTGCCAATTATAAGAAGGAAACCAAATCTCAATTATTGTATTGGGTTAGCAATGAGAAATTTATACATATGTTTTACACATGTTTGAAAAAAGAAACTAGTATATGATCAGTTTCTTCCCTTTAATAGTTGTTATATACTGAACTTGAAATGTTATTTTTTTTAATGAAGTTGAGTAAGGCTATAATGGTCGTGATTCGAGCACAAAAACCAATGTGCAACTTGGGTTTGCAGCTGTGGTCGTGATGTTTTATGGAGACATAGGCATTACTGTTTGTATAGTTGAATCTAGCATAATCAATGATGTTAGCAAGAAGTAGATATGTAATAGAATAAAAAAATAATCAAGTGGATCAAATTATATCTCAAAATCAATTAATTTGATTATAAATTTTAAGCAATAAAATAGTCAAATAATTAATTCAAATCAAAATCAAACAAATTAAATCGAATTAATCAAATTCAATTAATTTATTCCCTTAGAATCGAATATTCACCCCTAATTTCATGTGTTTCTGGCTCTACCATAATTGGGCTTCAAAAGAACCGATGCGACCTCAAATGACGGTAGCCCAATCCAATACAATTCATGAAATAAATATACCTAGCCCGTAGATTAGCCCATTTTAAGAATTACAGGCAGCCCCTGTTTTCTGTGTAATTTAGACATTTTATGGTCATGTATTGGGCTCTTCCAAGGATTCAGATCCAACATCAAACAAAAAACAATCGTCGATTCTTCGTTGCTTTGTTTAGCGGTTAAAACCTTGAACTTAAACCCTAGACGTTGAGGTTTTATATGCTTTCGACATAACTCCTTACAGAGTTAGATTATGTTCTACGAACACCTAAATTTAGCTTCTGTTTTTTGGTTTTGGTAAAATTTAATTCTTTATCCTTTCAATTTAACAGCGGCATTTCTGTTTAAAATAAAGGATCCAATATGTCCGAAAATAAACCTCAATCGGATTCGATTCAAAATCCTAGAGTGACATGGGAAGGTTGCAGCGTATTGCTCGACATCAACGACGGCGATCGCCTTGTTTTCGCTCGACTCTCTGCCGGCTCGTAAGCTCAAAACATCTGTTTTACTGATTATGATATAGTTTTGAGTTTAATCGGTTGATTTGGGTAATGAAAAATGTTGTAGGACCTTGAAAATTGGGAATAAGACATGCTCTTTGCAGCCATTGATAGGATGTCCTTTTGGTTCTCTGTTTCAAGTTGAAAGCGGAAAGGAAAAGCCTTACCTTTCCCGCTATATTCCCTCCACCGAAGGTTTATTCCTTTTTCTTTGTTCTTTGTTAAAGAAAATTACTAAAGTTATTGGTGTGGTTTAATCTTTTGTATTTTTTTAGTTGAATTCAAATTGATTCTAAGGGATACTCTTTTGATGTTTTTGCTGGATATATTTCACAGTTCAAGATGAAGGAGGTTGTCTATTAAAAGAAGAATCCCGAGACAATCGAGCAATAATTGATAACAATGAAGCCCAAAGCCTCACCGGTGAAGATATAGATGCGATGCGGAGGTGAAGAAGTTTGTGTTTTTGTGTCTAGTTACGGGCTTTTTGTGTACGTGAATCTTCACTGATTGCATATTCTTTTATGATGCAGACAGGGGGCAACAGGAAACGAAATTGTAGAGGCTCTCATTGCTAACAGTGCAACATTTGAAAAGAAAACACAGTTCTCACAGGTTGGTTCACATCATGCCAGTTGCTAGCAACTTTGAACAGTATAAGCAGGTTTGGTAGACTGATAGACAAGCACAAGAAGAAAAGAAACTGATGTTGGAACATAAATGTGTTTTACCTGCAGGAAAAATATAGGCTTAAGAAGCAGAAGAAATATGCACCCAGAGTACTTCTAAGACGTCCCTTTTCTCGAAGGTGACTCTTTGATTCGTAACACAAGTTGCTTTTTTGAGTTGTTATTTATCCTATCTCTATTTGCTGACTTGCATTTTATCACTATTTGTGTCAGTATATGTGAGGCATACTTCAAGAAATATCCAGCTCGAATTGGGTAATTATCATATGGTGTTGACTGTTTTTTGATCATTTACAGACAAATCAATTGGAATTCATTTGTTCTTCCTGTCCTTTGATTCAGATTTTTGCGAGTGGATGCTTTATCTCTGTTGATTTCAATGGCTAATGTTACTGCAAATTCAGATGTCCTTGTAGTGGATATGGTTGGTGGACTTCTTACCGGTGCCGTGGCAGAGCGTTTAGGAGGTATGGAACATGTTTTGTTTCCTAGGACCCTTCAATTATTGTAACTGAAACCAAAAAACCAATCAAGGATAATGTCACAGTGTGACATTACTAATAAAATATAGAATTTTTATGTTCCTTTTGTATAATGTGCAATGTAGTTCAAAACTTTTACTAGATGTTGTCAACTATCAGGAACAATGAAGTCTTCTAAATTTTATTTGAAATGCATTTTTAAAGTTTTTCTTACCTGGAGGTTCCTGGTTGTGGTCATTTCATCTCTGAAAGAGCAATGTTGCACACGTTGTCTGGTTGTTGAATGATACCTTTTGGTCAGCAGGTACAGGTAGTTTGTGCAATACTTATCCTGGAGGTACACCCTATCCTATGGAGATAATAAGGATGTTCAACTTCAATAATGAAATTTGCAAGAGGTACACTAGTTTTTGAATTTTGTGAAATTTGCCTGAAATGTTATCTTATAGATCCAAGAAAAAGCTGGCTTCTGTTATCTCGTTTTCATTGAGCATTTTCCTCTACCGCCAACTCCTCTAAACTCCTCTTTTCTTTGTACTTTTTCTCCCGCACATGGAACACATATAGAAATACAGAATTATGCTCATGAATCATGGTATTCATAATTTATTTTTTCCTCTTGGTTTCAGAATTTTTCGGTGTTCACTCAAAGACCTTTGTTCAGCCCAAAATGGAACTGATGAGCAAGTTGGCCAACTAAAAGATGTCTCTACAGTGGAGAGTCAATCTAATGTTAGTTATGCTCCCTTCTTGTAGAGTTTGTTCTTTTTGTCTCTGATGTCCCCTAAATGTGTAACAATGCTTTCTTTAGGAGCAAACATCCTTATCAGTTAGCACGGAAGAAGTTCATCTTTCATCAGAAAATGATGTTGCAGACCTTGTTCCTGAGAATGAACTTTCTGCAGTAAGCAAAACTTGCAAAGCCCCAAAAGCTGGAGACAAGGCACCGAAAGAAGCCATTCAGTTATGGAAAGAAAATGGTTTCTCTAGGTACCTAAGCTACAGCTGTTAAACAATTGCTTTATTAATCAAAGAACCATTTAATTCCATAATTCTTATACTTTCAGTGTCTCTGTGTAGCCTAATTATTGCTGCGCCAGAGCAGGATGCTTGGAGCTTAGTTAAGGATTTGCTGCCCCTTCTATCATACTCAGCTCCTTTTGCAATCTATCACCAGTATCTGCAGGTCATTTGCTTTAATTTCCTCCCTATTACTGCTCTAAATCTTGATAAGAATCGAATTTGGACTTCCCATTTATGTAGAAAAATTGGTAGTTAGAGTATTCCCATTGCAAAAGGGTCAATTTTCACTTGCAATGACCTTTGGTACTTCTATGGGTATATTTGGTACCGTCACTCTTTAGAAAATTAACTTGAGCAAACTATCTGTTCTAATACAGCCTCTTGCGACATGCATGCACAATCTGCAACTTGAGAAAATGGCAATTGGGTTACAAATTTCAGAACCTTGGTTACGCGAATATCAGGTCTTCTTCTCTTCTTCCTCAAATGTTTTTCTATAAAAAAATTATTTGTTTCCTTTTTGGTATTAATTCCATTACAGTTACATGAAGTTCTTTAATGATATTATGCAGGTTCTTCCATCAAGAACCCATCCCTGCATGCAGATGAGTGGATCTGGGGGCTACATTCTAAGCGGTACTAGGACATTTACAAGCCAATCCTAGTTCCTAAAATTACAGAGAAAGGAAAGTGGAGAATGTCCTAATGTGATGTATCTACTCTAACCCCTTAAAGATCATTAATGGAAGCTGATGACGTAGCTATCAACCAACCGGATTGCGACATGTGGTCGAATAAATATCATGCCACCTGTTGAGACCTTCTTCAATTGTACACGTTGCCACAGACATGGCACCACGCGGCACACCATTTCCATCTGGTTTCAAATTCAAAGTTTTGGAAATGCAAATTGTACTCTTCTTTATCTTTATTTGTAACTATACCAATTCGTTGTTGTGATAAAAGTTAGTGATGTAAACTACTTTAAAGTTGAATTTATTAGACAAATTTCCAGTTTCAGTTACAGTTGTTGATTTTTTTTTAATGAAACAGCTCACACATTTTGTGATGTCAAAAATATTTGGAGAAATGGGCCTGGCCCGCATTCTGACTGCAAGATATTTGTATAAATGGGCCTGACCCAGATTCTGTTGGATCGGATAATTCTGGAGAACCGAGCCTACTTAGCCTACTAGGCAAATTGCCGGGGAGCCAAAAGGCGGGCCTTGCGGATTCGAACTCTCCGCTTTCCTCAATCGACCCTTTTTCCTCCTTCCCGCTGTTTGCTCACCTTCCCCTTTCTCCCTCTCTCTCCTTCCTTGTCCTTTTCAATTTCAATCTCTCCCTCTATTACTCTCAGTTTGCTCTAACTCCTCTCTGAAAATCGCGCCTCCCTACCTTTTTCCATCTTTCTCTCCAGAAAAGAAAAGGAAAGCTGGCGCTGATGGGGAATTCGAGCGAAGATCCGAGCCGCTCATACCATCCTTCGCAATTTCAGTTTCAGCTGCTCCATTCTCATTCGCAGTCTCTAAGCATCGAAAGCAATCAAAATCAGAACCAGCCGTTGTCGTATGGCAAACGAATGTTCCTTGCTTCTTTAGGGAGGCCGCCTTTGCTCTTCTCCTCTTTTGATCAAACCAATGCTCGTCTCGACCACGTGCCTTCTGCTTTTCCTACTCCCCCTGTGAGTTTCTTGTCCCTAATGATTTTTCCTTTTTAATTTTTCTTCGATTCTTTCTGCTTTTATATCTATCTTTTTTAAAATTTTGACACTGACTTTATGTTATAAATTGGATCATTGGAGAGCTTGTATAATACATTGTTAATCGATATGCTAGTTATACCGTTGAAATCTTTTTTAAGGGGATTTTAGTGGTCTAATTTTGGATAGAAACTATGATTTCTCTTGAGGACTTTAGGGTTAAAATGTTTTCGTTGTTGATAAGCCCATTGAGATCAATAAACTTTTGATCTTTGTTGCGTTTGAATTCAAATTTCCAACCTTGACCTTTTATGAAATCTTTGTCATGAAACATTGTAATATCTGTTGGCAATTGATGCAGACTAAAGAAAGAGAGAGTGATGAGGCTCAGACGAGTGGAAGATCAGACGTCCCTGGACATGGCAAAGTTGTTAACCGTCCTTTGCTTGAACCCGAGCGTACCAAAGGTGGTAAGCAAAATAGCAAAGCAAAGGCTAAGAAGAATGCCAAGTCTGGAACTCAGAAACAAAATGCTGGTATTGTTAATTGATAGCTGCAAGTAAAACATAAACAGCCATTTGTTGTGGAGTTATTGTAATGGCCATTCTTAGTTTTCTTTCAACTGGGCTTCCTTGCAGATTCTCCCAATGGACTGAATGCAGCTGGTAACTGTCGATATGACAGTTCTTTAGGTTGGTTCCTGTTTGTGCTATTTCTCCTCTTCAGGTCCTTGCTTATAAAAACAATGGCACTAATGCGTTGTTGATTGAATGACTTCATCTTTGTTGGCAGGCTTGTTAACAAAGAAGTTTGTGAACTTGATCATGGAGGCCAAGGATGGCACCCTTGATCTGAACCGTACTGCAGAAGTGTTGGAGGTATAAAAATATGTATCCTCTGTAAAATTTTTTTTTTTAAACTTTTCTTCTTCTTTTTTATACTATTTTTTAATATAATAGTTTATTAATCCATTACTTGACTGTAATCCAAGCAACTTTTATACTATTTGTTAAACATTTCATCTACTGGCCACTGTAGTGCCATAACATTGACTCACTGATGTTTGATTGCTGACAAATTCTTTATATCATCTTTTCTTGTATGTTCTCTTGGTTTTAACAGGTTCAGAAGAGAAGGATATATGATATTACAAATGTTCTTGAAGGAATTGGATTGATAGAGAAAACTTCAAAGAACCACATACGTTGGAAGTAATAATGCATTATTTTTATTGAGTGCTTCCATGCAAAATGTAAATTGATAATAACCTGTAGGCATTGTAAACAGGGGATCTGATGATATGGGGTCAAAGGTGTTGGATGATCAAGTTACCAGGTTAAAGGTGCATGCTGCACTACTGTCTTTTGGATCTCCTTATTGTTAGTTGCTTTTATATTTCTGCATGTTCTATCATGCCCATCTGTTTCTTGTCTTGTTCCTTGTAGCATATATACCAGCATAATCTTATTTTCATGGGTGATAACTTGGACTATACAAAGTGAGGTTCTGCCTGGCCTTTCTAACTGCCTACTGTAAATTGGTTTTATTACAGGCTGAGATGCAAAGTTTATATGCTGAAGAACAGAAGCTTGATGAGTACATAAGGTTTGAAAAATTAGGATTTTGAGAGTTTCCTTGATTTTTTTGATCTATTCTTAGTGCTTTAAGTTGTTATCATGTTCTCTCTACAGGGAGAAGCAAGAGAGTCTGAGGTCTCTAGATGAAGATGCAAATTATCAAAAGTATACTGCCTTGGACTTAACATATTGATCTCATTTTCAGATATGATTTAATTGTTCTGATTTTATTTTCGTACCTGCACTGTAAGGTATCTTTTTTTGACAGAGGAAGATATAATGAGTCTTCCGTGCTTCCAGGTCAGTTATCCATAGAAATTGGAACTCCCTTGGAACTAAGTGTTATTTTAGAAATATTTTTAACTTACTTTCTGTTTATGCATTATTCCTACAGAATCAAACAGTTTTCGCAATTAAAGCTCCAGAAAATACCTATATTGAAGTTCCTGATCCTGATGAGGTGAGTGTTTTGGTGAAATGGGTATTAAACTTCTATAATGCATTAGAATTTGATTGGTTGGCTGCATTTATTCATACTCAGGAGATTGGTTTTCCACAAAAACCAATACAAAGGCAGTATAAAATGATTATCAGAAGTCATATGGGACCAATTGATTTGTACCTCCTGAGGTATGTTTATTATTTAATTTCAATTACTTGAATTTATTTGGCTTTCTTTTTAAAAAATTCTTTACCCCCACGCCCTTCTGCTGCATGCTTTTATTATTTACCATTGTTCAATAATTGTTATGTTCTCGATGGTTGTAGCAAATATGAAGGTCAAGTTGAGGATACAACAGTCAAGCAGGCCAAATCAGTGGACGCATCTAGTAGTTATGGGCTGTTGTGTGGAGTGGAATGTCCGGAGCTCTCTTCAGAAGAGAAAGCTAGTCACAACAATTCTTCTAAAACAGTGAATTTGGTTTGCCCTGAAGCGTATGGGATTCAGAAATTAATTCCTACAGTCAGTGAAGTAAGTCTGTTTGAAAGCTTTGCAGCACTCTTTTTAAGTTCTTTTTCCTTTTCTTGGAGTCATATATGTGTATGCAGCATGCAGAAGGAAATTCAACTGACTTGCTTCAAATTTTATCCATCTTTAGCAGGCTGATGATGATTACTGGTTCCTATCAGACCCGGGAGTCAGCATCACAGACTTGTGGGACACGTAGGAGTTAGGAGCTTTTAATTTTTCTCAATTTACAAGATTTTTTTTTTCTGGAGTCTGGCTGGTGCAATCAGAATGGTTTGAAGGTCTATCTGACTGGAAAACCAGTGGATGCTAATCTATACTCCTCTCTAACATAACAGAAAAGGAGACTCGACTGCAGTAGGAGATCGATCACTCTCAAGATGAATGCACCAACAATGGTGCCGCATTAGTTTACCTATTAGCACCACTTTGGGATACTGGCCCAAATGTAAATGAGAGGCAGTTAGCTTAACATTGAACATGACATTACTGACATTGTTTCTTGACCACAGTTCTAGGTGTAAATTTCATAGCTACAACTTACTCCAATGAAACTGATGATTCTTGAGCCAATGAGGTCTCATGTAATCTTCTGCTGCATCCAAGCATATACAGCCAGGATCAATTTCTTAATGAGATATGATAGAATATTTCTATTTTTGGAATAACAGTTTATACTTTGTATTATATTATTTATCTCAAAATCATTTAGATAATCATATATGTAGAGATATTTATTAAATATTTTTGGTACCACCTTTTATCAGAATTTTTTTAATACATAGTTAAGAAAAATATTATTATTAATGTATTGTTCTCTTGAATTTGGTGAAAATAACGTATTAAATGCAGAAATATGTTTTTTAAAATAATATTTTAATTATCTTTAATTAATGCCTATTGGAACTCTTTAATCGGATCCTGATTTTAAAAAAGATTTTTTAAAAAAAAGGTTGGCATGAAATTTTAGTAAGAGAACTGGATTCAAAACCCAATAAAGAGTAAATAAAAGAGCCCAAAATTGGCCCAGAATGCCTAAAAGGGGATTGAAAAGCCCAAAATAGGCCCATAATTCCTCAAAGGCACTTTGGAGAGCCCACTCTTGAGGAAACAGAAAAACTGCTGAAATCGTCTTTTCATCCAAATCTTCTCAGTTGTCTTCACCTCTCTGTTTTAGGGTTTACGCGGAACTGGTATCAATCTCGTTTCATTCTCATTTTCCTGAACAATCTGAACCTGCACTGTGTTTCCTGAAGATCGGGGAGTCAGGTAAGGAAGCGCAGTCTCACTGGAATTATTTTCTGTTTAATTTCACGGTTCGTATCTCTACCGGATACTGATGAAATCGGTTGGGGTTTGGACTTTGAATTAATCGTGCTTTATGCTCGAAATACGACGTAAACATCATTTACTTGGTGGTGAATTGGTGTTTTGATGAATGCATTTATCTGGGTTCATATGTAATTTAATTTTGGAAATGATTATTCTAATTTATAATTTATAAGTTAATTTCCATTCGGTTCACCATTTGTTCTCATTTTCGTTGTCTCTCATTTCTGTTTTTCCCTCTATCTTTTTTCTTCATAATTTTAGTATTAGAAACATGATCAGAGGCTGATCAATATGATTGTCGTTGTAGAAGCATGGCCGACGTCATTTGCCAATGGGTAATTAACTCCTTATTTATCCCCATTTGCAGGGTGGCATTAGCTGACAATCTATGCACTCGCCAGCGAGATCATTTGTTTCACAGATTAACTCAGGGTAATGATTACTGAGTTTTTGAAGATTTTATTATACATACATGATAGAGAATGTTGCTTTTAGATCAAATCTCACATATATGATATCCCATCTGCTTAATATATAGTACATTGGAATATGTCTTTTGCTAATAGGTATTTAACTATGAAGCAATGTAAATTATTATGCTTAAAATTTCTCAACTACACAAGCACCACAATTTTGTTTATGGCAAGCACCTTAAGCAATGAATTGATTATTCATGGCTTTATCAGTAAGGCAGTTTGTAATATTCATGCTGATTGGAGTTACTATTCAATTTGAATGTGTTTATATTGTAGTTGTGGATGGATACTGAAGCCGGACAGCCAAAACAAGAGCGCTCAAGAACAAGGTGGACGGCATCCCTTGATAGGATATTTGCAGACTTGGTAGTGAAGCAAATTCAATTGGGAAACAGACCAAACAATGTTTTTGATAAGAAAACCTGGAATAACATACGTGATGAATTCAACCAGCAAACAGATCTCAGCTTCAATAATAATCAGTTGAGAAAGCACCTGGACGTTCTGCGAACACGCTTCTATAACCTGAAATCAGCTTATGATCAAAATGACTTTGCAGGCATGGAGGACTCCTGTTGCATCGGGTTTGATCTGTGGGAAGATACTGGGGTACATTTCCTTTTCAGCTTGTTGAATGCTTGTTTGGACATTTTTATAGTGTGTTCCAAAATATTGTTTTTGCAGGCACAGCCTAGGCCTGAGCCAGTCAAAATCAAAGACTGCCCCATATATGAGCAACTATGCACAATATTCACTGATTCATCTGCTGATGGGAAATATGCCCAATCAAGTCACTTTGAGGGATTGGATAAAGCTGTTGCAAATGATACCGGAGGCTTAACTTCATGTCCAGAGGGAGGGTCTTCACAACCTGATAATCCATCAACCTCAAAATTAGCACAAAACAACCCATTGTCAGAAAAGTTAACTAAGAGTATTGCAGAGAGAAAAAGAAAACGACCATCTGAGACACCATCTTCTTTGGAACAGAGCAGAAAGGATGAAGAAATGTCTGAGGCTATGGCAGGAGCCATGTTAGATATGGTTGCTGCTTGGAGGTCAAGGAGGACCAATGCCACAAAACGGAGTGATGACAAATTTAGCATAACTAATTGCGTTAAAGCATTGGATGAGATAGAGGACATCGAAGATTGGCTCTATTTTGCAGCTCTAGACCTCTTTGAAGACTCCAGTTTAAGAGAAACCTTTATCTCTCTAAAAGCTGGGAAGATTAGGTTGACATGGTTGCAAGGGAAGTGTGGCAAACCCGGGACGCCCCCTGTCTAAGTTAGAGGCTGAATCTTTGGCTTTTTTGAAAGTGTAAAGATCTTTTATACAATTGTTCACTTGTAAGGAGCTAGTTTGTTCATACATTGGCTACATAGTACATATTGATAGATTAGATGTTCTAATTATGGCATTACCAATGTTCAAAGGCGCGTATATACATGTAATTTTGCAAATAGCGAAATTGTGCTTTTGCATTGGCTAGCAATTGAATATTGCCAGTTTGTAGATTTCCAAAGGGTCATCTTCTAACTCGATGATTCTAAGCACAAACTAGCCGTCAGCCGCCAAAAGTCATGCATTTATCAATAAGCTCTCATCAGAGTTAAGACCATGCCAAAAGAGGTGGATTCTCATCTCTCCATGATCGAAGCTAAAAGAAGTAAAACAACTAAGATCCGTTCAGTAATTGAAAAAATAATTTATTGGGTGAATTTTTTTCAATATAAAATATTTTATAATAAAATTTAATGTTTTTGATAAATTGTTAAAAATATTTTTTTTATTTGAATCATCTCGTGTAAAATATTTTTCGTATTACTAGTAGATTTAGTTGGACATTAAAGATGATAAATAAAAGTTTAGTACAAAGTAATTGTAATTAACAATTTTCTTGTCATAATAATTGGTAAGTTTGGTTTAATTATTTATTTTATTTTTAATATTTTCAATTTTTTTATTTAATAATTCTCATGTCTTAGTCATTTTTTATTGAAAGCAACAAAACAAGGATTTGATTAAGCACTTAAAGTTAGTTGTCACTTATTTATTAAAGAATTACTTGATTGCTTTCCTAGGAATTATTTGGAGATTGCTTCCTTGTATTTAATGTTTATGATTAATTTTAGAAAATTACTTCTCCATTAAATTGTTTGTTGATAACCTTTAATATTTTTAAGAGGATTTTTTAATTATTTTATTAATTAATTTTTGTTTATTGTTAAGTTTATCTAGAAATTGAAACTATTGTTATGATTAAATTATTTAAGATTATACTAATTAATTTTTTAAATAAATTATTAAAATTGATTTATATATTTTTCATATGAATTTTTTTCATTTAAGTTATTTTTTATTTTTTATTAAATATTAAACTTTTAATATGATTGTCTTATTGATATTATTCATCCCAAACATGAAATTTTGATTCCTCACTGCATCAAAACGAATATACCCTTTGCTTCATTATTGTGTCATGCACCGAATTGGCAAATGGGGAGAGAAAAGAAGAGTGAAAATCCAGGGTGAGATAATATGCAATCAGCACCATGAACAACATCGGTTGAGACTCTACTTACAATTCTTTGATTAACAATCTCCTCAGTGAGAGAACAATTTATCCCTCCTCCAAAACTAGCAAGTTGTTCCACTAATTAAGTACATCAGAAAAATAGAATGAAAAAAAAAATGTACTGTAAATAGAAAAGGGTTTTACAATATATATAAGGTGCCTGGTAGTTTATTCGAATTCACCCCGTTCATGTTAATCACCATCAAGTCAAATCCAAAACCATTGCCGGTGCTTCTTGTAGGACTTCAGTCATCATCTTTGAATTCCCTGTTGAAAAACAAAATACAGAATCATTCAAACAATCGTGCACGATCTGGCTTTCCTTGTTATTGGGTATTTCTTTTATCAACCGAACACAACACTTTTGAAGCAAAATTGCCTGCTGGTTAAGCTATCAATGTCTGAGCAATGGGCATTATTTCCCATTCTTATGACAGATTATGATAAACCCATGACCCAATTACATAACCCGAGCATACTTGCTGTCTGCGTGTGACCCAAGGGAAAAAGACATACCTGCGATCAAGAAACCGAGGTTGAATCCCGCTGCCTTGGCAAGTAGTGCATGTTAAAGAACCAACACCTTCACAGTTAACGCATTTCGAGACTTCTTTCTCATCCCCACCAAGCTCTACACTTATCGTCCCACTTCCCATACAAAATCTGCACCTCTCTGGACCATCACGAAACTTTGAATTACTCCAACATGACACTCCATGAAGCCCCAAAAATGGTTTACAGAAATTATAATACAATTAGACTTCGAAATTTGTAACATACACATCTTCTTTACTACTTCCTCTTTCTCTCTATGATTTCTCTTGAATTTTGTTTAGTTCGATTGTTATAATTGAGAATGAATTACTTACGGGCGCCGGTGCCATTGCAAGGGAAACACGGTTGGGTGTTTTCTCGCTTTGCCTGCAAAATAAATTGGCCTCCTTTTTGTTTTCAAAAGAAAACTACATTACTAAAACAATTCATTCATGTTAAGAAAAGATTTGAAATTACAGCGCTATCGATTTGAGACTCGTAGAAGATTGGGATGCCGATCCCAACCGCAACGCTGACAAGCCCAACGGACACTGCTACTATCTGAAAACAGTAGCTTTCTTTCAATTACTCCTGGGAATCGTTTCAAAATTACATAAACAGTTAAAATGACAGAAAAGGAACCGTGTTCTGATCCAGATCGACGGCTCTGATGCATGGATAAGACGCCGGTAACCGTTGGTTTCGGCCACATTTGAAGGATAAAGATGCAGTTGAAGACTTGAGTGGACAGGAAAGAAATGGAGAGTGAAGACGAGGAAGCGAAGTTGCCATTGACATTTTGCCTCTTTTCTTCTTCTTTTTCTTTGTTTTGTTTTAAGAAATTAGAATTCGAAGGAACTGGCAATGGCGGATTTTGGATAGGTAATTTGTGGGGTTGGAATCAATGTCAGCCAATCAGACAACTGGAGATTCTGTGTACTCCACGTGGGGCTGTCTACTAAAGAGCCTGATCGTGCTGGTTGATAGTTCTTAGCTTCGACATCCCAAATTTATTAACTCATTTCCAAAGCCTATCTTACTGGACCTTGCACATTAATTGGCCTAATAACATTCTGCCAACCTTCAAAACCGACTACATATTTACGTCGGACATCTCAATTACATAAGGTAGATTAATTGATTCGAAAATTTTACTATTTTTCTTTTTTATTGAATAATATTTTAATTTATAAAAGAATTTATAAAATTATTTCTTCTAGAGAAGGTGGTATTGGATTAATAATTATAAATAATTTAATTGTAAATATTGTATTTTAAGATAAATACTCTCAATTTTTAAATTTTAATCGAAATTAAATGAAAATTTATTAATTTTTAAAATGAATATTCAATCTTAAAAAAATATTCTTCATTAAATATGTAAATTCAACCATTAATCAATAATCAGTGTTTTCATCAATTTAATTACATGACAAGAATAAAAAAATAATTTTATCTTTAATTAACTTTTAAATTTATTATTATATAATTTTATTAAAAAAACTCCGATAGCCATCGCCTCATGACAATGTTGAAAGCAACTTCAAAACCTAGCACCTCATCTTCAGCTTCAACTTCAACCTCAACTTCGACAACATTAAAACCAAGTTTAAAACTAACTACTTCAATGTCATTTTCAAACTCTTCAACACCAGACTCAAGAAATTCAAAATTTTAATAAAAATTGACGTCAATCTATCTTATACAGAAATATATACTATAAAAAAATCATATAATCAAAATATTTATCTTATAATTATAAATTATAAATTATTTATTTGATTTGTATTATCTTAATATACTTCGTACTATGTGTATATATATGGCTCAAAATAAAAAATTTGACATTGTTTTAAGCATTTGCTAAGACTCTAAAAAGGTTAAAGAAAAAATATTCCCAAATAATTAAAGAAGAGCAATGAAAATCAAAGATTAAATTGAAATAAAGACACAATATGTATAAGTAATGAATTGAAATCTTGAAAAATAATAACAAAATTTAACGGTTAAGATTTATTTTGCTTGTTCAACGAACTTCCTCAAACTCTCGCCAAGAGATGATGGTTGAGCCTGGTGTTGGTTGGATTGGTTTGCCGTTCGACAATCTAGAGTTACTCGAACCCTGACCCACTTCTAAAACCCATTTACTAGTTCGCCTTGTAGACCGAATAATAGTAGATCCATTTTCAAAACCGAATACATTTCCATGTCTCACATCTCAATTACATATTTTCCAGGAAAATAGTTGTTTTTCTCTTTTATTGAATAATTTGTGAATTTATGGAAAGAATTTATAAATTGTTTTTTATGGAGAAAATGTTATTGACGGATAATTATAAATAATCCTTTAACGGCTTGTTTGAAGACATGTGTTAAATTAATATTTTTAATAAACTTAATTATAAATCTTTTTATTATTATTATTTATTGTTATATTTGCTAATGTATAAATATAGAAAGTGAATTTAGAACATCCAATGATACATATAACTAAAAAAAGTCCCATAAAATTATTGAAAATGCATCGCAATGAACGAGCAGCTATTAATTGTTTTCCCAAGACTTAACCAATTGGGCGCTGAAATCAGCCTAATGATGGCAAACGCATTACGCAATACTTAATCCAATTATCCTATGTGCTAAATGTAAGTGGCTTTGAACTCCTCCTCGGGTGTGGTTCGGCCACACCCACGGGTGGTGGCCAATTGCATCCAATACCATTGGAGATGAGAGACAAGGGGAAGTGCGTGTTTGAGAGCGACAGCCCAACGAACAGATATAATTAGACCACGCTGCTGCTAGCTGTTGATGCATGGACCGATTCTTCCCATAGCTACAGTGCTACACCAACACACTCTCCCCGCTGCCTATCTTTTTATTTTTATTTTTTTTTTCCGTTTTGGCCTTGCTTTGAGCATGCATTAATTTACTACAGCTTGAGAAACGTGGAATCCAAGGCTTTGGAAAACCTTCCCCACCACATGCCTTCCCTTTTTCCATCATCTCTTGGCAGTGGCACCCTCGTTGTGGCTTTTGTTCTCCTCCGGTTAGTGGCGTAATTTCTTCCTTTTCACCTCTTGGACCCCTTTTTCGTTTGCTTCTAAGTTACACAAAAAACATAGCCGGGACAGGGAGAAGGGTTCACGTCCTTTACGTGAGACACGTCCAAAGCATTTCCCTTATCCTTTTCATTTTAGAGATAATATATATTGAGAGTCATAATAATATTCTAAATACCATACTTGATTCAGTGATAAAGATTGCTATATATTCTCATGCAGCTAGGAAATAATCACCTTTGAATCGAGCGTGCATCGCATCATTCCATAACCTAATTAAAAACAAATCATTTTTATTAGAACAATTATGACAAATCATACCCAAAATTTGTATATAATATAATTTGTACGTTTTTTACGTTTCACGCTCATGGCTTTCGACTCTAGCCAAAGAGGAATACATTTCCTTTAGGTTGATCCTTCAATCATGATTTTAGAAAAGTTAACTCTATGGTAGACGGGTTAATAAAAATGAGCACTTCTGGAGTTAGAGATTTGAGAAACTTTTTGCATTTCACGTGTTTAAGAAAATGATTTGTACATTAACATAGTTAATACTATTATGTCATTAAGTTTAATAAAATTAATTTTGTTACACGTGACAAATACGTATGCGTGAGACATGAAAGGAGGCATAGAGGTTGGGCAACGCATTTTATCTCACCAAGAAGTTGGGCATTGGCAGTACATATGGTTAATGGTTAATGCGAATTATGCAAATGCCTTCAAAAATGTAGGTCATTATTAATTGTCATAAATTACATGATTGGACCTTCTTACTTCCTAATATCAAGGATAATTATAACGGGCCCCCGATGGGGACGATCAAATTTTGTCTGGACTGTAAGTTACTCATCACCAGCACTTGATCCAGCTGTTACTGAAGGCCGCTCACAAGCTGGATCAACGGTCTCCTTCAATTAATTTCATTTAAGATGGTGTAATTAAACATATTACATATATATATATATATTATATTAAAAGGAAAAATAGCATAAACTTGCAAAATGTAGTTAATAGATATCATGTATTCAAGATGAATTTAGCTTGTGGCTCTTGTATAAGTTGAGTAAAGGTGGCAACAAAAAAAGTTTAAGGTTGAGTAAAGGGAAGAGGATTTCACCAAAAAAAAAAAAACACTACCCTCCAAAAAAGAAAAGTTCTGTTCGGATGAATTTCTGACAATTTACATAGAATCTTGAAATATGAAATTTGAAATCCAATACTTTTAATACCAAAGTTTCATTGATTTATTAATTGGATATTTACATTTGTAATTGTAATTAAAATTTTGTCTATAAAGTTTGTATAGACATTAATTTTCTCTTTGCATGAAACTAGGCTAAAGCACTTGATACGTTTTTTGAACTATATCTATTTATGTAATTAAGTTATTAATTTTTTATTATATTTAATTAAATTTTTAATTTTAATTAATAATTAATATTTATCAAATTTAATGTCAATTGATATTTTCTCTTCTTGTGACGTATAGCAGTTGATGAAAAAAACTTGATAATTGATGTAGTTACATGACAATTGATATTGGCTTTGATTACTATTGTTTTTTCATTAGAGTTTAAGCTACAAAACTATTATACATTGATAGAGTTTAATTAAGGTGATCATATGGTCCCCCAATCGGCAAAAAGGTAGAAATAATGAAATTAATAAGGCAATGGATTGGAAATTATATAGCATTTCATAGTAACATACATTGGTGGGATCTTAAATACACCTTCTCTTAAAGCATAATTATTAGCACATAAGAGAGAAAAAAAAATTATATTTCCTAAATGATATAAAATGATGAAGTAGATGCAATCTCTTAGAGTCAATTATAAAAATAGCAAGATTCTTCTAGGACTCCATGCATTACCCATGTGAGAGAAAAAGACTTAAATTCTTCTCAAAGTGAAGAATTGAAGAAAAGAAAAAGGTTTGATAGTGGGACTTACAATCAAAAGGAGAATGGAAAAGAAAAAAAATATAAAAAAGAAGCCCCAACGATTAAGATTTGACATGCTTTGCCTACAAATAATTTCAAATACGGTCAATAAATTTTAAAAAATATTTTTTTATTTTTTATTTTTTATAAATATTAAGATAAAAATTTTAATTTTGATTTATTTTATATAATTTAAAATTTTAGATATCTAAAATTTTAATATATTTTATGACATTCAAAAAAATAGAAAAAATATTAGACAGAAAATAGGAATTAGCCGTAGAGGTAATCTTTGCACATTATCCATAACGATCACTTACTTTACCCATTTATCGGCTACCGATTCCCCCTTTTCGCTTTATCCCTGTTGATCCTTATCCTATTCACGATATTACCCCTTGGAATTTGGAAGCGGATATGCCTTTCTCCTAGGGTACAATAGGGAATTCGGTTATTTAGAATAGGCAACGAAGTTTAAAAGGCTAAACCGAGAAGCGATTCTCTATACGCAAGCACATTTCACATCTTGGTCCTTGTGAAACCCAGAAGCAGGTGAGCCGTCGGTTTTGAATCAGACGGTGATTAGGCAACAATAACGGAAAAATACCAGTGTGCTCCGCTGCAGACAGATATTTGCTCGTTAAATTGCGCAATTTAAAACCGGGTGAGACCTAAAACCAAATCCGGACGAAGGGGAATTTGAAAAGGAACGACACAAAAGACTGTGATGCTATCACTCTCTTTAATTTTTTTATTTTTTTCCCAAAAGTCTCTCTCTC